TTGTTAGAGTTTATATATATAAATTTTTTAAAAAAATATTGCTAAAGTGTATAATATCAATGTTGTCTGCTGCAACTTTTATTTGAACGTCACACTTTCAATGTTCATCAGGGCCGACGACACGGTTTTTGCAGTGTGTGTGTGGGGGGCAGGGGGGGCACACTATCTTATTTAAAAAAAAATCCTCAATTTTTTATAAAAATTCTCAACTTTAATAAATAAAAAGTAAGTGAGAAAGGGCACTTGCACCCTGGCCCTACCTCCCCCTCTCCCTTGTCGTCGGCCCTGCATGTCACAAGATAAATAAAAATTGTTTTTTTAACTCGCTAATAAGGTCTTATAATGACCTTCATCCAACTTATAAAAAAGACGTTTGTCAAAAAGAACTCCATAAAATATAGAATGAGATCAAATAAGTTTTTTCATTATTTTTCAAATAGGTAGTCATCGCCTGGGTGGAGGGAAACTTAAAAAAAAACTCTTATTTTAATAGAATGATAGACGCTACATAAAAAAATGTTTAGATATTGCGTAAATAGTATTGGTTACCGATTTGCTTTGTAATGATTATAAACAAATTCTAACAAATCAAACATCAAGAGGGAATTTTCCATCAAGCAATATACTTGCATAACCCAGAGCAAAGACACCACAATTGAAACTATCAATTTGCTTATCAACGGGAAGAAATGTTACTTCAAACTTTCCATTCTTCACAATTGGTTGAAAGAGGGATTTTAAACATTTTGTCGAAATCTATGTTAGGTTAGTGCGCAGGCTATCGCACACTTGAACCCTGCCATTTATAACAAATGCTAATAGCCAGTGAGAACTACCGTTGTACAATATTTAAAGGTGGTTGCCAGAAACTGGGAAATATGTGGACTTCTTTTTCTGGCAGTTTAATTCTGATTGGTAAGTTTCTTGGTTACCAAGAGCCTTACAAATTAATTTATGCCCTGCGTCCATAAGATTGTCGTTCAACCAGCTATCTTTACTTTCTAAAATTTCCTTATCTGCCTCTGTGAACTCATACAGTTCAAAGATAATTGATTTGGCTGACATACCTTTGTTTTCCAGAAAATTCAATTTATGGTATACCAAGAGTGTTTATGAGGTGTCAAGATAAGCCAAGAAGATCGCCAATTTTTATCACCTACGCAATTTGATAGTTGACTAGCTAGTCCACTAGATTTTCCAAAAGTTTGTTTGTGTACTTACAGTATTACTTTCATTATTATGATCGGAGGGCTTACCAAGAGGCTTCCACAAATCAATATATATATCTTTGAAAGTAAGATAATACCTTTTCTTTCAATTAAACGGGCCCACTTACTATACGTTGATTTGATACTTGCATAGGTCTCACATTTGTGACCAATGCAAGTATTAAATCAACGTATGTATAATCGGGAATGAGTTCTCCGATTGTTGCACGGCATACATCAAAATCATCTCAACAATTTCGTCTGGTGCATGATTCCAAAAATATGCAGATCCTTCAACTAATATTGGTTTTAATTTGTCGTTTGCTCCTTGAATATAAGTTTTAAGTTGAACAATGTTGTATATTTTTTTAAGAGTTAACCCCAATGCGTTTTTTAAAGTTGCAACTCTTTTTTCAGAAATATTCACTACAGTGAAAGGACCGAGCCATTTTTGTGAAAACTTCCCTCCCTTCCGATCAAATCGTTTGTTGTTTTTTAATAAAATAATGTTATCTACCTTATTTTCTGACTTTGACAAATATCTACTATCATAATCTCGTTTTTTTCTTTTTCTGCGCAACTTTTATATTTTCGCTTACTTCAGACATGGTTGTTGCTCTGACTTTACTTGGTAATGAAAAGACGGCACCAAAAAAGTTGAAATCGAATGGTTGTTCGTCTATGTTTTATTCTTGGTGTTCTTGTTTATTGCTTTCGTCTTTGAAAAGGCTATGCTTCACATCAATTGGCAAAATTGGTTCGCCATTATACATCAGCATGAATGGAGAGTAGTTAGTAGAAGAATGTCGGCTAACGCGTTGATCAAAAAGAATACCCTCAATATTTTGCGGCCACATTTTAGGATTACCTTCCAAAACCTTTACCAAAGAATTCTTTATTGTTCGGTTTTGATGTTCTACCAATCCATTTGCCTGAGGGTGATAAGCAGACGTAACTCTCTGCTCTACTCCAGTTAGTTTGTGTAGTTGTTTACATACTTCGTTTACAAACTCCCGACCCTGGTCATTGATTTGGATTTTAAAGCACTCATGTTGACTCATAATCTTGTACAAATATTGAGAGACAGTTTGAGCTGATTTTTCCTTGATAGCCTCGGACTATTTAAAAAAATAATCAATCAAGACAATGATATGACAATACCCTTCGACTACTGGAAGATTACAAATGTCTACTCCAATTTGTTCCATTACACTTGATGGTACTGGTATAGACTTCAATTCTACTTTTGGAGACTTTAGGTCACCTTGTTTTTGACATTGTTCGCAGCGACTAATATACTTACTAACATCAGCAGCAATATTATACCAAAAAAATCTTTGCGCAATATTGTCATACGTAGTGTTTTTTCCTCTATGTGAGGCCATTGCCTTAGAGTGTTCAGAATCTCCAATACCTCAGTGTACGTATCTAATAACTTCCATTTGGAGTTCTTTGTCTTTAATAATCATTCTTTTATTACAATATAAATGTCCGTCTTTCACTTCAAACCGTTTTGCTGCTCTTCGAAAATTTGATTTAATCCCATAATCATGTCTAGATATAGTAAAAGAGTGTTTTTTATTCCTAAGATAATCTTCTATGTTATCAAAATGTTTTCTTTCCTTCACCATGAAGCAGCACACTTGTCTTTATTTGTAAAATTTATTTATTTGTTTATGTATGAAACAATTATAGTGCATTATTTAAACATGCTTTTGCGTTCGAATCAACGTTGATTCTATTCTAAATTCTATTTACAGTTTTTTAAAAACTTCTTTGTAAATTTTCTTTTAGAATTGCAAGTTCTTGGATTCTTAATTAACTGCTCCAATCATAATTTCCCGGGAAATTATGACTCATAACATCAAATTTTCTCGTCAAATTTTCCTTCAAAGTCTTGATTTCCCGGGAAATCAAGACTTCAAAGTCCTAATTTCCTGGAGTCTTAATTTACCGCTACACCGGTCATGTAATTATTTTCTTTATAAGTTACGACTGTAAATTTTTTTTTATCGGCAAAAAAGTGTAAACAAAAAAAAAAATGGATAACGAAAAAAATATTTAAATATTGCAAAAAGACATTCGGCTAAAACTCGCAATTGGGCCAGTGCTGGCTTGAAATCAAATGCCGTCGTAGTGGTTTGCGACTATTCGCTAGAGTTCTGGCATTTCGTCGCACGCCGCTGCAACTTCTTGCGATGATTTACCGTACATAAAAAGTTGCTTAAATCGCTTGCCAGACTCGCGCCAGTTATGGCTCGTTACTAATATAGTCGCAACGGCGTGCGATGATTCGCCAGAGTACTGGCTCGCAGTCGTGTGCTGTCTGGGCTTGGTCTATTTTTATAAAATGTGGTTTTATTGTCACAATACTTGCTACTTACAGCTTTGTTAATAATTGGCCTTAACGTAAGGCAAAAATTGAAGTGTTTTATTTTTAAACAAAAAAATGTATGGAGAAAAAAAAAACAGATAAAAGGAGCTAAACTTAACACAGCTTTTTTAAAATGATATCGCTGTGTGCCAGAATTCTACTTAAAAAAAAATTAAAAAAAAAATTGCTGATAACAAATTGAGTTTTTATACTTAAAAGAAAAGTGAGAAATTAAAATGAAATAACAAGTTTTCAACAAAACCGCAAATGTAAACGTACGCAAATGTAAACGTTTGCTACGGCGTAGTTTGTGAAAAACAAGAAAAATGGAAACAATTGTTTCCATTTTACTTGTTTTTTTTTTCTCTTTTTAAGTTAAGTTTTCTTTCTATTTAACTTATATATGGAATGTTAAATATATGTGGAAAACAATGTAGGCTGTTTTTGGCAATAAAAAACTAATTTTTACTGTGAGCGCAGTAAAAGTTTAACATCATTATCGTAATAACGATATCAGACGTAAGACGTAAAGAAAAACTCCTATAGCATTTTTTGATATATATATATATATATATATATATATATATATATATATATATATATATATATATATATATATACATATATATATATATATATATATATATATATATATATATATATATATATATATATATATATATATATATATATATATATATATATATATATATATAAAAGGCATTTAATTTCCCAATTGCGGTTGTAGCACAGTGGTTACAGTGCTTGCTTTATAAGAAGGAGATCCAGGTTCGAAACGAGATCTGGACATATTTTCGCGTCACGGTAGAGAAGGAGGCGTAAACCCAGCAAACATTGAGCAGTCGGACCGACAACGGACCGCTGTCAGCACTTATGCCGTGCCGACGTCGGCCGCCCGCTGCGTTGCCGCGTAGGCTTGCACATCGTATTTACATCGGTCCGTTAGCAGCAATCTGCAGGCGGCTCGATAGCGGTCCGATGGCGGCAAATCGCAAACTTTTTAACAACGGTCCGTCAGCGGCAAACCGATGAAAAAACGATAGCGGAATAACATAGGACCTTTTATATGTTTTGATCAAGATTGGAATGCATTAATATGCATATCATTATTTTTTTTTTTATTAGAACAAAACGCACTTAAAGGAAATTTTTAAATATTTTTAGCTCAATTTTTACGCTAAAAAGAATGGTAAACCCTGCTTAAACCTGGAAAGCACATCAAATACCTTTTAACTTTGTGCTTAGGTATATAGCCATTAAATACTTATTAAATCAACACAAATTTAGTAAATAATACTCATAACATAAAGAAACACTACCATAACTGTAAATCATTAGGTCATACGTTGCAACGCTTAAGCTCGGTGAACAAATATATGAACAAAAAGAACAATCTAAAGTAATAATAAAATCCTTTTAAGATTGCAATTTACAATTATAACATAAATATTAAAGTCACAAAAAATTTTTTTTATATCTAAAACATAATATAAAAGATATTAACATCTATCGACTTTGCTTAACTTGCGTTTGGAGAACCTCCTTTGGAGTATTTCTAGTTTAAAAAGTTAATTGTAAACACTTTATATATAAGTTCAGTTTATTCTCATTTCAATCGGAAACTAAATATATTCGAGAAGCCATAAGGTGTTGAAATCGATTTACGTTGCAGTCTGCAGACTTCTAATTTTTACCTAAAAGCAGACAACAATATCCAATCAAAATATTGAAACATTTAAGTTTAGAGCTATTATAACGAAACAAACTAACCTTCTCAGCCCTTAAAGACGTTACGTTTAAAAGTTTTATCGCCAGCTATTGACAAGTAACTCCACATACTAAGTGTATCTGCATTGAATAAATGTAAAATTCGTTTTAATATTAAAACCTAATTTAACAGATAAAAACAGCAAAAACATTGTTTAATTTGAAAAGTTATGTAACTACTTTTAAAAAGCTATATAAAAATAAAGTCATATTATGTGCTTTTCTTGAAAAAAGTAAAACTTAATAAACAGTAAGCTTAAATACAACTTCAGACTAATGCTCTACTTACCAATATAGTCGAGGGGTTAAAATAAGTATCTTTTTTCATGTAACAAAAAGTCGACATTTGAGTTAGAAAAAATCTAAACATGAAAAAGACAAGAGTAAGTCACTATCATGATATTAAATTGCAGGAATGTTTTCAGATGCCTAGTTTTTATGATAATTATATTAAAGCAGACACTGATTTATAATTAAAATATAAAAGCTATCCATTTAAGACGAGCATAATAAACTAACCTTTTTAAACTTTAAAGGCATCATTTGAAGCAAATATGTCTCATTGCCAGTTATTAGCAAGTAACTCCATCGACTATGTGTATCTACATTGAGTTACTACCAGTTTTTTCTAGGACATCTACCATGTCTAAATAAAATTATAGTTTTATTATTGAACATAGTTTTCACTGTACAAACAAAAGTGTAGCTCAATATAAAAAACTTTGAAAATAACTTGAGAAAAATGAAAGCTATAAAATTAGAATAACTACCATACCGGCGCCATAATTTTCAAATATTGAGGGTTTTAAACAAGTACAAACTTGTGACCATATTAAGAACACAAAAATTTATTCAAAATCTTCAATCCAGTTTGCAAGTTAAACAACTCTGCTAAACCCATGATAATATTAGGATCATGGCCGACATAACCCTTGGACAACATAGAGACAAAAGCAACTAAACCTGCAAATAAATATTAGTAAATCAGTAAATCAAAGTGTGACATTAAGTCAAAATAATTTTCAAGACAATCTTAAAAAAAAGTCTTAAAAATTAAAAATATTAAATTAAATAAAAATTAAAATAAGCAACCTTAAAGCTTAATTTTGCTAATTCTTTTCACTAAAACAGATTTTCATTAATTATTATTATTTAACCCTACCTTATATAATATGCGCTCTACATTGTATAATATATATTATATAATGTAAAGCGCAATAATTAATAATAATGATACGTAGTAGATACAGATATTTCCCATTATATATATATATATATATATATATATATATATATATATATATATATATATATATATATAAAAGTCAATATACATCTATATAAAGTCTATAATTTATTTTTTAAATCAAATATATGTATTTCAAGTTGTATTAATATTACAACATATCAATATTTGTATATGAATTTACGTATCATATATTATATAATATTAAGTACATAATATATATAAGTCAATATATAACTCAATATATCAAGTTATTATATAATATAATATTATATATGATACGTAAATTCATATACAACATATCGTACGTCATATGATATATCATATGACATGATGTTATACATGAATTTATGTATCATATACAAGTTGTTGTATAACAATAATATAAAACAACTTTATTTGATACGTAAATTCATATATAACATATGATACCATTCATACATAGCCTATAATATGGTACCTAATTTCATATATAACTTAAAAATTACATATAGTAATTAATTTCGTATATAACTTGAAATATATATTTGAAATAAAATGTGAATTATAGACTTTATATAGTATATACTATATAAAGTCTATAGTTCACATTTAATTTCAAGTTATACATGAAATTGAATATAAAATAACATAGAGAGTTTTATATGACTCATATACTCTTATTATGAGTCTTCGTAATATATTATATTATAAATACTCGTATATCTAGATATACGAGTATTTATAATATAATATATTACGAAGATTCATAATATGTAACATAACATAATAAAGATATCTTTATATTATATAGAGACGTATAAACTATATGAGTATATATATTCCACAACTCTTCATTTAATGTTTATTAACTTTCCATTTAATGTTATTCTATAACTTTATATTATTTTGTAACTTTCACTATCTATTTGATATGAAATATACAAAGTATATATGTTTTTACTCGAGTCTATATATATTTAATAAACTTAAGTAAAAAATATATACTTTTTGTATTTCATTTTAAATAGATATGAAAGTTATAGCTTCACTGTATATTCTAAGACTAAGATTCTTAGTCTTGGAATATACAGTAAAGCTATAAGTTTATAAGTAAACAGTTAGGTAAACTTAAACAGTAAAGCTCATGTTATAATTTTAGGCATGTAAATTATTTGCTACATAAACTTTATTTACATGCCTAAATTTATTATTTAATAAAGTTTCTTTTCATTTTAGAGTTAACTCTACTAAGCTTAGTAAGAGTTAACTTGAAAATGAGAAGAAACTTTATTAAATAAAAATTTAGGCAAGTAAATAAAGTTTATTTACATGCCTAAATTTTGGGCATGTAAATAAACTTTATTTACTTGCCTAAAATTATTATTTAATAAAGTTTCTCTTCATTTTAAAGTTATTTAATAAAGTAACATTTAATTTAATAAAGTAACATTTTTAAAGTTATTTAATAAAGTAACATTATTAAAAAATAATTTAAGGCTAAAATTATTTTTTAATAATGTTACTCTCTTAATTTTAGAGTTACCTCTTAGTATTTAATAAACACTAATAAAATAAAACCATAAATCACTATATATCGATATCGACCAAAGTCTCATGGCGCTTGAAACGCTTGCTTTTGATGTTTTTTACGACAGCTTACCGCCATCCAAAAGCCCACTTTGGCATTGTGTTGGCAAAGCTACACCGTATCGTGATGAACTTACCGAAGCTGGCATGCCCATTTAAAATTGCATTGGCGACGAAGTGTTTTATCGCTCTTCGGCCGATGGCGGAAAGCCAACATAAAATAGGATGCCGGTCCTGCATCAGCTACCCGGCAGCGGCAAACCGCATTAGGCATAACAAAGGGTCAGCACTGGCTTACCGGCGGCGGCTTTGCGCATCATGGTCCGCTGAAAGCATGTTTGCTGGGAACTTCCTGGTTAAATGCACTTCCGCGGTGCTCAGTGACAAAACCGTTAGGTCTTCTTTGGGCACTTAAATAACAAAAAAATATATATATATTTACTGATGTGTGATAAAATTTCCAAGTCCTATTTTAACAAATGAACCTATCTAAAAAAAGGTCACAATTTACAGACTGATTCATTGAATGCGGATATGTCACTGTCTTACCTTCCTCCCACACATACTCTTCGCGCCGGCCTTGACTGCATCTAGTCATCAATATTCATTCTGAAGATTCTGAGTAGGAAATTTTGAGAATTGTTTTTTCCTTATTTAAAGAGTTATAATTATTTGTTATTATAAATATTCATTTATATACAGTTTTTAGAATTGTAATAAAATAAATATTTTGAAGTGATTTTAATAATTTCAAAAGTAAAAAATTGTTTCGATACCATTTTTATAATTTCAATAATATAAAAATATTTCGATACAAATCATAGCGATCCGAAAATATTAAATGTTTCGGTGCCATTTTTAGAAATTCGATGATATAAAAAAATTTCGATACAAATTATTAGAATCGGAAATTTCAACTCTGAAAATTTTGGAAATTTAAAAAAATAAAAACTAATTTGTAAAATTTTATGTCTTATTTATGCAGTTGTTATGGACAATTATAGTAAAATATTGTGAAGCAGGTCATACAAGTTTTAGGAAGCTTCCTTTGAAAAACACTTTTTGTTGAGTTTTTTTATTATAACTATAAGTAGCAACTATGATCATTTGTTTTTAAAATTTTCTAAAACTGTTTTATCTTGTTATTTGCTATGCATATTGGTGTTGATTATGGTATTTGTCAATATCTGTTTAAATGGTCTACAAATTACTGAAAACAGTAAAATTATATATAAAAAGAACTGATATAAATATTTGCAGTATTTGACAATTTTTTCTTGATTTAAAGGCGTTATTGACTAATGAAAAGCAAAAAGTAGGGAAATTTTTTTGCTAAATTTGAACTATTTAAAAATAAAGATGGTAATATAATAAAAAATAAAGAACTAATGATTTTGAGGTCATAAATTCCACTGCTATGTTTAAATAAGTGCGTTTAAGCCTTAGTGCAGCAGTTAGCGCACTGGCCTAAGAAGCTAGAGATCCGTTGTTCAAAGCCACCTCTGGGCAAGTTTTACAACATCGGTAAGGAAGGAGGTGTAAACTTTCTTTCAAATGCTCTTTCGCGGTGTTTTGTGATAAAGACATTTTAGGGCACCTAAGATAAAAAATTAAAAAAACAAAAAAACAAAGTTTCACTCGCCACAACCTGGCTAGGACACTTTGGACTTAATAAACCAATATATTAAAAAATGGGTGAGGGGATCCGTAAAAAGTACCGTTTTTTAAAATAAAGAAAAAAAAATTCTTTAAAAACTGAAATTCATTAGGCTGAAGTGTCAAATACCCAACTAAATTTGTCAAAAAAAACAACTATAATTTAAAATTCAGGAGGTAAAACAATCCCTTCCCCCACTCACCTTCCCCTAAAATCTTCTTTGTATGCAATCTGTACGCATAAAAATTCTTTGTTTCTTTAAAAAACTCTACAAAAATAATACACAATAAAATTTATTAATCTAAAAAAGACTTTATTATTTGTATTTTTTATGAGTATTTTACATCGTAGTTGAGAAAAGTAATGGCTAGAAATATGTTTTACACAAGCTAAAAAGACAAGATAACGCGGAAAACATCTACTTATGTTAATTAACAAAAGCTCTACAGACCGAGAGTAAGGTGAGTTTAGGAAGAACAAAGATATGTTAGAATAAAAGGCAAAAGCAGTTGTGTTATAAAGATAAAACGGACAGAATTGCACACGATGTTAGAAGGTGCAATAGTGCTATTAGTCGAACCGACAGAGCATGAAGAGTTCACTTATTATGAACTCTTTCTCAACTTTCTTAATACCAAGGAAAACCACACAATAGCAAAATTTAAGCGTTTTATTTTTTATTAAGTCATAGGGTAAAATACCCAGTGTTCGCAATGCGACCTAGTCTACTTCCTTCTTCTACGACCTTCACTACTTGGTCACTAAAAAATATGCAGAGCTAAAACTAATTGCTGGAAAGTTTCGAAATGTTCTTTTTATTATTGACGAAAATTTGACAATCGTAGCTTTAAAAATAAAGGCACAAAGTATATTGATAAAAAAACTTTGCCCAAAAATCCTTAATG